GCCTTTGAATTATTCAGGGTGGGTCGTCCGAGTATCATGTTGTAGGCCGAGAGTTCCTCAACCACTAAGAACCGAACCACCATGTGACGACCCTCCCCTTTCTCACCCAGGAGGATGGGTAAATCCACTCGCCCTACTGGGTGTACGACTCCTCCTCCAAACCCTACTAGAGGGTGGGACACCGGATGTATGCAGTCAGTATTGTACTTGAGCTTTGCCAAGCACTTGCTGCTGATAAGATCAGAGGAGCTACCTGTATCAATGAGGATCCGGCCAACTTTTTGGTTGGCCACCTTGCACTCAATAACATTAGGGTCATCATGCGGCCCCTTAATCCCTCCTAGATCTTCTTCTGTAATGACAATCTCTGGGAATGATCTTTTGGCGGTCCGTTCTTGATGAACGGAATTAACATCTAGCCGCCTGATATTGTCTTTATTGCCCCTGATAGTGGGACCGCCTCCTGAGAAGCCGCCTGCAATTGTGTAGACGACTGCATCATCTGTATCAGAACTGTCGGTCTGTTGATGATTCTTTTTAGCCGACTGCTTGTTCTTTGAGGAAGTGTTCCCCTTAGACTTCTTGACATAGGAGTCAAGGTCGCCTTGTTCAGCCAGGCGGTCTAGATAGCGCATGAGGCTGATGCATTCGTTTGTTTCATGACTAACGTCTTCATGATAATGACATAATTTGTCTTGGTTCCGATTGTTGGCAGAACCCTTCATGGGGGCCGGCTTCTCGATTGAGATCCGGCTCTTGATTTCTTTGAGGATAGCTTGGCTATCCTTGTTGAACGCATACTTCGGAGAGTACGGTTTGAACTCTTTTTTCTTTTTCTAGGCCGGCTGTTTAGAGGAATCGGCCGCCCAGACCTCTTTTCGCTTTTTCTCATCTTTATTAGCCGGCTGCTTTGGTCGACTGTCTTTTTTGTCGGATCTCCGTCCGTCCGACTGCTTCCCAATATTGCAGAGGCCAGTCGCCTGCATATAGGCTTCTGGTTCAATCAAAGCTTCGTGGAGAGTCGCAACCCTTTTTCGAACCAGGTCAAACTTGAAGGTCGACCCATCCTTAAGACCTCTGAAAAAATCAGTGTAGGCTACCTCATCCGGCAGCTCTTGAATTTGGATCCTCATCAGGTTGAACCGCCTGATGTATGAACGGAGCCCCTCATTTTCACCCTGCTGAATTGTCCCTAAATCAAGGGTCGTCTTCTTTGCAGCTATGTTCATGGCAAAGTTGGAGGTGAATAAGTAAGCAAGCGTCCTGAAATTATTCACACAACCAATCGGCAGGTTGCCGAACCATTATTGTGCGATTCCTTTGAGAGTAGCTGGGAAACACTTGCAGCAAGTGGGATCATTGAACCCTTGGAGGTACATTAGGTTGGTGAACGCCATCAAATGGTCTTCAGGGTTAGTAGTGCCATCATAGGCGCCTACTAGCATATTTTTAACTTTGGCCGGCTGAGCGGCCTCAGTAATTTCCTTGGAGAAGGCGGATGGCTGTTCTCCAAGTCTTAGCAACCGTAGTTGCCAGTCCAAAGGCTGGACATTTTTTGCCGCCTGTCCCCCAAACAGAGGTGACTGCAAGAAATATTGTTGTTGCGGTACGTATGGCATGTTTGGTACCGTCTGCTCTGTATGAAATCCAGACCGACGGGAGGTACCGCCTGTCTGACTTTCATGGTTTGATTGAGTATACCTCATAGAGGTATTGTGCAGACTATCTTGGAAATCTGAAGTGGAGGCCGACTCTGACAGTCGGTCATTCCGCTTCTGCTCTAACAGTAGCCAAGCATCTGATTATGTTTTCTTTGACCCATCCGCTTGTATATGACAAATGGGCTTCCTCTTCCCTAGTGAGGGAAAACGATACTTTGTTAAGTCAATCATAGGCGGCTCCCACTTCCTAAAGTTAGGGTGGGGGGGTCGCCTCTCGACCTTGAACAGGCTTCCTTCTTCCTGAATGAGAAGGCTTTCTGGCCGACTGCTCCTTAGAGAGAGCAGGCGTCTTCTTATTAATTAACTCTTGGATCTCCCCCTTGAACCCCCTCATGAAGGTCATGAGTTCGTTTCTTGTAATGGGAGCAGACCCTTCAGCCGCCTGTTGCTGATTAGGCGGTGTGCCGGCTGGATTACTGGGTCCAGCTTGGTAATCCACCCGTTCCTTCCTTTCGGTGTGACGGGTGCGTCGGGCCCTTAGGGTCCCGTCTGAGGCCGTGTGTGTTTCAACCTCAACTTCATTCTCAGTATCATGGTCTGAGTATACTTGAGGGTCGTCCTCTGGACGCCTCTCTTTTGGATTCGGTACAGACTTTGTGGCCATCTCGAAAGTACTCTCCCCACAGACGGCGCCAAAATGTTTTGGGGTTTTCTGATGTCCTGCGGGAGAGTTATAATTCCGAGACTGGAACCGGACGCCTGTACCTGCAAAACAAACGGAGACTCCGGGTGGTTTGAGCTCCGCCTCCGACGGTCAAGTTAGTACTTGTTTAAGGAGTAATTAATGCGGAAAGGTAAAATGTTTTTCTCTAGGTGAGAGTAATTAATGATCGTAATCCCTTTTAATGAGGATTAATGAACATATTTATATGCCTTGGGATGCGTGCCAAATCCTAGGTTTAGGGTAAACCTAAGGCTGACTGGGCTTTTTCCAAGGATTGGGCCTAGGTGGCCGGTCGTGTTGCAACTGGTCCATGGTGGACGAATCTATGATTGACACATGGCAGACTCCTATTGGCCCATATGGCGGACACATGGTGGAACCTGATTGGTCCACTTGTCAGATGGTGATTGGTAGGGAAAAATCCCCTAATCACCTGAAATCAAGACTGCTTACCAATAATGGTAAACAGGGCTAACCAAAAACAAAAAGGAAACAGATTAGAAAAAACGCTAAGTACGTATAAATGCAAGACATGTAAATACTTTTATTAGGCAACCATGCTTTCGAATTAATCACTTTAATTTAAACTCGCCACAAGCCACTTTCCAAAATTAGACTTTCTAAAATTAAACCTTCCAAGGGTAGTAATGTCCATCAACAGAAGATTTCCAAACCATAGATTTCCAATTTATAAACTTTTCAGTTTTTAAGATATATTTCCAAACAAATTTTCCTCACCTAAGTGTGCACGCCCCCCAAGCAAGTTAAACTATACTCGAGGAAAGACCAGATCAAACAAAGCTCATATTCTTACTTAACCAGTTTCGGGTAAAGGGACAATTAAAATAACAAATACTCATGCTCATAATGAGCTGCAAAATTTTAAATTAATTTAATCAAGTGATTATGAATTAAACAACTTTTATTAAATCAATCAAACACTTTTTAAAGATCAAACCTTTCATCGTAAAGTTATATATTTTAACTCATCATGAAAATCATTAACATAAATATTCATACGCAACATTTATCCAAACAATCATTAAAATAAACATTTACCAAAACACGCATTCAAAAATTGAATCAAGGACCTAGCCACCTATACGTACCTTGGTCACAAGGAAAGTTAAGGTACGACTACTACATTTGACCACGATCAAGGGAAACCTGCTACACAAATAAAATAACCTTAATTAATATAAGGTTACAAAATAACACAAAACCATAAACACCATTCTACTTGTGCATGAATTACCTAAATTTTAACCTTTATTAAGCAAATTATGTTAGTATCAAATTAGTGCTATTAGTATCAAAGTAGTAACATTAGTGTCAAAATAATAATAGCTTCTTAAAAGAATAGTATTAGTATGATAATATAAGTAATAATAATCATAGTATAGTAATCATCATTTTGTTTATAGACTTGTGGCAAAAAGGAGGGTGAAGGAAGGAACGTGGCACTACACCTCCTTGGCAGCAAGTCACGGCAGAAGGTTGGCAGCAGACTGGCGGCAGTTGGTTGGTCGTTGGTGGCAGGGATGGTGGCGGAAGTGGTGGTTGTTCGGTGGCAACAACTTGGTTGCGGGTTGCAGAGTTTATGTAAGCTAGAAGGAGGAAGGAAATATAGGAAGAAGAGGGCGTGATGAGATAGAAAGTAGAGAAGAGAATTTCTGATTTTTGGTGTGAATAAGTGGGGGGACTTAAGAGTCTATTTATAGTGTTTAGAGTGTAGAAAAGATAGAGCTTAAGGTGTGATATGATTACTAGAAAATATGATAAGTTTTTGGGATTGTTAAGGTAATTGAATCAAATTAAGTCTAGATTAGTAGTTGGGTTAAAAGATGAGAAAAAAATTTTAAATGGATACACATATGGTTGGGAGAAGGAAAATAGCAACAAAAAAAATGAGATAATGAAGAAGAAAATTAGAGGTTAAGTTAAAATATAATTATTAACAAAGTAAAGTGATAAAATCATTCTTAAAACCATGAATGTTTTTACCAGCTTCTCATTTCACAAAAATCTTTTTTTCTTTTATTATTTTATTTTAATATAAAAACGAAAATCTCATTAAATAAAATAATTTAATTTTGTAATCAAACCAAGTTATTATACAAATATTTTAATATTTTAGATAATATCAATACTACAAATAGTTGTAAATCATAATGTATATTATCTTTAAAACTCTTGAAATTGCTAATATAATAGCATACATATCGAATAAAATATGGACCGACCTATAAAAGATAATTAAACCTGTATTATTAATTTAGAAATCCGAAAATAATTAATTATTCAAATGATTAAATACTTATATTTGGCTCCAAAATTTAAAATTCATTTTGGCTCCAAATTTTAACAACTTTCCAAAATACTTTTCTAAAATTCGGGGTATTACAGTCTACCCCCCTTAAAAGAAGTTTCGTCCGAAACTTACAAACATTTAATACCTCAAATTAATATTATGAATTATCTTGGTTAGTTAGAATTTATTAAGTTCATGCACAACCTAAGGACTTGACTCAAAAGGCTCACTTAAAGACATAAAATAAAAGCGCGAAACTGTATTGCATTCTACCCCACTTAAAAGGAAGTTACGTTCCCGTAACTTAACCACTCACCATGAAATGGTTAGGGTACTTTTTACGCATTTCTGCCTCAGCCTCCCAAGTTGCTTCCTCAACCTTATGGTTCGAACATAAAACCTTGATTATCTTCACATCCTTGTTTCTGGTGCATCTAACTTTACTATCTAAAATTCTCACCGGTCTTTCTTCATAGGTCAAGCTTTCATCTAGCTCAATTGTCTCTGGTTTTAGCACATGTGCAACATCAGGAACATACCTGCGAATCTGGCTTACATGAAAAACATTGTGCACCCTTTCTAATTCGTTGGGTAAGACCAACTTATATGCCACTTTCCTAACTTTCTGGAGAATCTCATATGGCCCAATGTACTTTGGGCTCAGCTTCCCCTTCTTACCAAATCTCATTATCCCCTACTAAAAAGATATTTTCAACAACACCTTTTCTCCTACTTGGAACTCTACATCTCTGCGCTTCTCATCAGCATAACTTTTCTGTCTATCTTGGGTTGCTTTGATTTTCTCCTAGATCAACTTCACTTGCTTAACAGTTTCCTCGATCATTTTAGGCCCAAGTAAAACAGTTTCACTTATGTCACTCCAACAAACTGGGCTCCTACATTTCCTTCCATACAGTGCCTCAAATGGGGCCATTTCAATGCTTGCATGATGACTATTATTATATTAAAACTCAATCAAGTCTAAGTGATCTTCCCATGAACCTTGATACTCCAATACACATTCTCTCAACATGTCCTCCAAGGTTTGTATGGTCCTTTCAGTCTGACCATTAGTTGCAGGGTGAAAATTTATACTCATCAATAACTTAGTTCCCATGGCCTTTTGTAAGCTTTGCCAGAAGTTAGATAGGAACCTCGAATCACGATTGGAAATGCATGATATCTATAAGCACTCCATGGTATTTCACCACAAACTTCACATATGCCCTTCCCAACTGATCTATAGACCGAGTGCTTTTCATAGGTATAAAGGTTGCAGACTTAGTCAATCGATCCACAATGACCCAAATAGTGTCATTCCCCTCCGGGATGCATTGAACAAGGAGAGCTACATGCCTCTTCCATCAGTCTCTGTTTGATGTCCCCACGATGTTGTGGAACACACCATCTCCCTTTAAATCGAATACTCCCCTCATCTGCAATAGTAAAGTCCAAAACCTGCCCTTTCCCAATCTTCTCTTTTATTGCCTTCAACTTCGAGTCTCCCAATTGACTTTCCCTAATTTCATCATGAATAGAAGGTTGCACTGCCAAGGCATTCAACATCTTACTAACCTCTCCGTGCTCCACCACTTCTAAATTAAACTTCTGAAATTCCACACAGAGCCGGTCTGGCAAAATCATCATACTCATCAAATGACTGATTTTCCTACTTAAAGCATCAGCTACCACATTGGCTTTCCCTTCATGATATTGGATATTTACATTATAATCCGTCATAAACTCCAACCATCGTCTCTACCTCGAGTTTAAATACTGCTGAGTGTAAATGTACTTTAGACTCTGATGATCTGTGAAGATTATACAAGTTACCCCATATAGATAATGTCTCCAAATTTTCAAGGCAAACACAATCGCAGGTAACTCCAAGTCATGGGTTGAATAGTTCACCTCATGCTGTTTTAACTGTCTCGAAGCATATGCAATGACCCTCCGATTTTGCATTAAAACACAACCCAACCCAAACTTCGATGCATCACTTTACTCCTCATATTGCCCACTTTCATCTGGCAAAGCCAACATTGGTGCCGAGGTTAACTTGTCTTTCAAGGTTTGGAACGCATGTTCACACTCTTGGGTCCAAACAAACTTACATTCCTTCTTCATCAAATTCGTCATGGGCCTTGCAATCCTCGAAAAATCCTTCACAAATCTCCGATAATAGCCTGCCAATCCCAAGAAACTTCGAACATCTGACACATTCTTAGGTGTCGGCCATTCACTCACTACATTGATCTTCGCAGGATCTACTGAAACTCCCTCCTTAAAAATCACATGACCTAAAAAGGCTACATTTTCCAACCAAAACTCACACTTCGATAGCATAGCATACAACTGGTTTTCCTTCAAGGTACACAATACTTTCCTCAAATGGTCCTCATGCTCCTCCCTATTCTTGGAGTAGATCAAAACATCATCAATGAAAACCACCACAAACTTATCCAAATATGGCCTTAAGATTCGGTTCATCAAATCCATGAACACTGCAGGTGCATTAGTTAACCCAAATGGCATTACTGTGAACTCATAATGACCATAACACGTCTTGAAGGCACTCTTGGGAATGTCTTGCTCTACAATTCTCAACTGATGGTACCCTGACCTCAAATCTATCTTGGAAAATATTCCAGCCCCTTTCAACTGATCAAACAAATCATCAATTTCCAATTTATAAACTTTTCAATTTTTAAGATATATTTCCAAACAAATTTTCCTCACCTAAGTGTGCACGCCCCCCAAGCAAGTTAAACTATACTCAAGGAAAGACCAGATCATACAAAGCTCATAGTCTTACTTAACTAGTCCCGGGTAGAGGGACAATTAAAATATTAAATACTCAGGCTCATAATGAGTTGCAAAATTTTAAATTAACTCAATCAAGTGATTTATGAATTAAACAACTTTTATTAAATCAATCAACACTTTTTAAAGATCAAACCTTTAAATCGTAAAGTTATATATTTTAACTCATCATGAAAATCGTTAACTAAAATATTCATACGCAACATTTATTCAAACAATCATTAAAATAAACATTTACCAAAACACACATTCAAAAATTGCATCAAGGACCTAACCACCTATACGTACCTTGGTCACGAGGAAAGTTAAGGTAAGAGTACTACACTTGACCACGATCAAGGAAACCTCCTACACAAATAAAATAAACATTAATTAATATAAGATTAACAAAATAACACAAAACCATAAACATCATTCTACTTGTGCATGAACTACCTAAATATTAACCTTTATATAACAAATTATGTTAGTATCAAAATAGTGCTATTAGTATCAAAGTTGTAACGTTAGTGTCAAAATAATACATTAGCTTCTTAAAAGAATGGTATTAGTATGATAATATAAGTAATACTAATCATAGTATAGTAATCATCGTTTTTTTTTAGACTTGTTGCAAAAAGGAGGGTGAAGGAAGGAACGTGACACTGCACCTCCTTAGCAGCAAGTCACGGCAGAAGGTTGGCACGCTGGCGGCAGTTGGGTGGTCGTTGGTGGTAGGGATGGTGGCAGAAGTGGTGGTTGTTCGGTGGCAGCAACTTGGTTGCGGGTTGCGGAGTTTATTTAAGCTAGAAGGAGGAAGGATATAGAGGAAGAATATAGAGGAAGAAGAGGGCGTGATGAGATAGAGAGTAGAGAATAGAATTTCTGATTTTTGGTGTGAATAAGTGGGGAGAATTAAGAGTCTATTTAGAGTGTTTAGAGTGTAGAAAAGATAGAGCTTAAGGTGTGATATGATTACTAGAAAATATGATAATTTTTGGGATTGTTAAGGTACTTGAATCAAATTAAGTCTAGATTAGTAGTTGGGTTAGAAGATGTGAAAAAAATTTAAGTGGATACACATATGGTTGGGAGAAGGAAGATAGGAACAAAAAAAAAAAAAATGAGATAATGAAGAAGAAAATTAGAGGTTAAGTTAAAATATAATTATTAACAAAGTAAAGTGATAAAATCATTCTTAAAACCATGAATGTTTTTACCAGCTTCACGTTTCACAAAAATCTCTCTTTTTTTCCTTTTTATTATTTTTTTTTTAATATTAAAGCAAAAATTATCATTAAATAAAATAATTGAATTTGGTAATTAAACCAAGTTATTAGACAAATATTTTAATATTTAGATAATATCAATACTACAAATAGTTGTAAATCATAATATATATTAGGTATTATCTTTAAAACTCTTGAAATTGCTATTATAATAGCATACATATCGAATAAAATATGGACCGACCTATAAAAAATAATTAAACCTATATTATTAATCTAGATATCCGAAAATAATAATTATTCAAATGATTAAATATTTAAAATTCATAAAATTAAATAATTTAAAATTCATTTTGACTCCAAATTAAATAATTTAATAACTTTCCAATTTTTTTTTTTCTAAAATTCGGGGTATTACAGATAATTATAGTAAAAAGATAGAAAACAATAATGGATTTAGTTAAATAGGTGTTGAATAGTTATAATTGGAGTAATTTTATAAAGTATACAAACACTGAAATGCGTGCCATGACTAGTAAAATACAAATAAGTGAAGATGTCATTGATCAAAGATGAATCATAAAATTAGTTGAAGTGCTTGAACATCTGGAATTAGTTGTATTATACTAAGTTAACCAAATTCGACTTAATATTCACTAACTTTTATTATATTATTAGTTCAATAATCAGTCAATCATTAATTAAATGGTTATATTAATGTATTAATGAATGAATAAATTTATTACGAATGTTTTAAACTAATGAAATGACTAAACATGAATAAATTGTACACTTAAATGAACTAAATATAATTAGTAGAGTTTCTAATGAATGAGCTATCACTTATAATGACTAAGTAACACACCATCTTTAAAGTTTTATTATACCTTATTGTATAATTTATATGTTTTACTAATTACTAACTCTTAGACTATAATATATTAAATTATACAATTAACCGAACTTAGTAGAATGACGATTAACTATAAAAAAAAAGTGGACTAACTATAATTAATAAGTTCTACTAATGAATAACTATAATTAATAAGTTCTACTAATGAATAACTAATAGAATAACTATTAGACAATAATATATTGCATACAGTGAATAACTTGTACGCTTTATCAAACTTAATTAGTAGAATGACTATGTAACACATCACCTCTGAAGAATAAGTGGAACTAACTATAATTAAGAAGTTGTACTAATGAATACCCTTAGACAATAATATATTTCATATAGTGAATAAATTTAACACTAAATCGAGCTTAGTATAACGAGTTCGTAACACATCACCCTCTAAAGAATAAGTGGAACTACATATAATTAATAAGTTTTACTAATGATTATCTAGTATACAATAATACATTTTAAACTTAACCGAACTTAATATAATGACTAAGTAACACATCATCTTTAATGAATAAGTGTACTTAAATATAATTACTAAGTTTTACTGATGAATAGCTAATAGACAATAAGGTATCACATTCAGTGGCTAAATTTTACACTTAACCGAACATAGTAATATAAGGTGTCACATATATTTAATAAGTGTTACTAAGACTATAAAACATCAATATGATACATTTATAATAAAGCACTATGTTAGACTAAACAAATTTAATGCAATGACTACACTTTACATTTAACTAAACTTAGTTATACTAAGACGATAACACATCGCCCGGAAAGAATCATTTGAATTAAATCTTGAAAATTAAGTGTTACTAAGATTCACTAAATTAGACAATAATATACGTAATAAGTTGACAATAATAATTATTATTATTCAAAAATTGGAGATAATCAGAATTAATCTTACAAAAATTATATATTCATGCAATTATAAAGTAAATCATTACCACTAAAGAAGATTAATAAAAATTAACCATAATCAGTTAATCACAATAATTATAAGGGTTAGAAGGGTTTGGCATTTAGGGGTATTAGGGTTAGAAGGGTTTGGCGTTTAGGGTTATAAGGGTTAGAAGGGTTTGGAAGGTTTTGGATGTACACGTAATAAAATTTGGGATGTACTATTTGGCATGTTGGGTACACATCCCATCTTTTAGTACTTTTTGGCGTGTTGTAGTCAATATCATTTGATTGAACATGATACAATAGGGCAGAAGAATCACAATGAGCAATAAACAATAACAATTTTGTCTTTCCTCTTTTGTCGTGGCTTGTTTAGCCACTACCAAAACACTTCGTCTATAAATACTTAGTTGTATTTATCAAACCATACTCTGTAATCCCCATATTTTTAAATATTTATAAATAAAATAAAATTTTATTTATAATATTTATTGTATTTTTCTGGAATTTATTCTACAAGTTTTAAACTATTTTTGGGTTGATAAACAATTTTATTACAAGGAAATTTTTATGAACATATCTCTTACAATTCATGATCATAAAAACAAATCCTAACTCATTTGTTTATTTAATTGACTCATTATTTTCATGAGGCCTAATTTTACCCTACAACTCTCTGCTATAAATACCCCATAAATTCCCAAATTTTCCCAACACAAAATGTTAGTCTTATTTTCTCTCTCCTTTATTTTTATTTTTATTTTAATTTTCTTTTCCTTTTTTTTTCTTTTCTTTCTTTTTCTTTCTTTTCTTTTTCCCCTTATATCATATGTGAGCATTGTTCACCAAAACTGCCGCCCAACCACATTCGGCTGGCGTGCCGCCCTGCCGCTGCCGCCACCTAGTCGCCGCCGACCACCCAGTCGACCCAGCCAGGCTTCCTCCCCTAATTCCCCCTTTGTTTTCTTTTTATTTTGCTTAAAACTTGATTTAATTGTTTTAGGTTTTGATTTTTAATTTTATTGTTTTAAGTATGATTAATTGATTATACAATCATGATTTTGATGTTTTAAACTTATGATTTCAAATTTATAATTGTGTTTTAATTTTCAGATTTTATAATTTTAAAACCTAGGTTTTAATTTATTGAAATTGGGATTTTAGGGTTTTAATGAATAATTAAATTGGGGCTTTTGTTCCTATTGTATTTCTAATGATTAATTAATCATAAAAACATGTTTTAAAGGAAGTTTGAATGAGTTTTAAATCAAGTTATATTGCTGGAAGTTAGTTTTTGGGTATTAATTTTTGATTGTTGGTTGTTTCCTAGTAAGTGATTATTTCCTAGGAGATTTTTAATTGATTAAAAGTGGCACAAAGGATTGTTTATACGAGGTACGTACATGTCAAATTCGTTATAAGTAGTATCATGTTTAGGTACCAAAAGGAAAGAACTTAGTTTCATGATTAGAGAACTCTTGGATGGAAATTGTTTGGTTAAACATTGAATTAATTCATGTGCTTATGTTTATGAGACATGTTTTGGTGAATTGATTATGTTTCTATGGAATTATGGATACGATCATGTTGAATTATATTGAATTAATTGTTTGTATGGAATATTGATACAAGCATATTTTATTGGTTTGGTTTGTTAACCACATTTGGATTATTGAAGGATTGGAATTGAATGGTTTAAGTGGAATGAATTTATTAATTATTCCATAAGGTTATTATTATTTTATTTATTACTCAAGCATGACTTGTTAGTATGTTGAGTAAAGGTGAATTAAGCCGAAATGGCTAAGTGGGTTGACTATATTTAACAATTTTGGATATTTTGGAATTTAATGGAATTAAAGGCCAATTTGTGATGTGATCATCATTGTTCTAAATAAGATTAAAAGTGAATTTTATGTATGATTATTGTGTAAGGTCACTTGAATGAGTCGGCTATTATTATTAAAACTTTTAATCATGTAAAGTGAAACATGGATGAGCAATAAAACTTTGGAAAGCGTGCACTTCTAGAATATTGACAATTATCGGTTGGGGTACACGATGGTAGCCCGTGGCTTTTCGAGGCTTGTTTGATTAACATGTCCTGTTTTCTTTTAGTATTTATATTTTTATTTTATAATGAAAGTTAGATGAGATCCTAGACTAACTTTGTGAGAATGGAGTCGTGCCCATTCTTGCATCGCGCTATACTTTTATTTTAAATTGTCAGTTGGAACCAAAATGATTTGGTGGATTGGACAACCTCGTCTATTGTTTACTCCAAATTAAATTAATTAAATTAAATATAAAGAGTCAAGTGGATTGGAATTGGTTAGTGAGTATGTTGAGTTGATTAAACTATTTTGGTGTGGAGTCTTGGTTAATGAATTTATGTTGAATGTTTGTTTACTTTAATTAGTTGAGCATGTTAGGTTTGTTGCGTTGTAGCTTGTATGTACTCTGCTTTGCTGATTGCGTGATTTTGTGTGTGTTTTCGTTTGGTCATGACCTTCAGCTTTCAATGACCCTGTGATGATCCAATTATTACACTTGTATTATTGGGAGCTGTATAGCACATGTTATCTTGATGATGTGAAGTTCGGGGATTTGACATACGCATTGTCAAGGGATTGGTGTGATTGAGAGTATTCGTTCTTTGTGTTGAACTTATTTATGTTTTTATATTCGTTTATGATTTGGGTTTTAAATATTGGTTTGGTTTTAAATAAGGGCTTTTATGGTTCCAGTTTGTAAGCTTTGACTTATTGGTTTTCTTTAGTATATTATTTTAAGATTTAAGTTGGATTTTCTGCTGCGATACTTTGATAAAACCTTAACGTTTTAACACGTGGCGGTAACATGCCAATGGTTCTTCTCTATTTTATATAAAGTAAGTGGTTTGGAAAAGGGGGAACTATTGGGGTGTTACATACTCAGAAACACACTATCCCCAAAATACTATCCTCGTATCTTCCCAAGAACATTGTCCTCTTTACTTCCCCACCATGGATCCTAACCAAGACGTACCTTACCCACCTGGGTTCTTTGCTGCTCCAGTAGCGGAGAACGCCAAACATTGTTTCGACTACAATAAGAACCCTGAACAAAAAATGAACTTCAATGACTATGTCTATTTTCGTAGTCGAAGTGGTAATCAGACATTGCATGTCCTTGAATGGGATATCTTGAGGAAAATTGTCGCCAAGCCCAAGGAAGAGCAACACCGCATGGACAAATTGATGATAGTGAATGAGGCTGGTGAAATCTTTTCGGCTCACTTACCCAATATTGTTGATGTCGTTGGTAAGCCGGAGGTGCAAGCTACCATTCGTGAGCTGGAAAAGGAGGATGTTGTCAAGTACGAGGGTACAACTAAAGTCATCCCCAAAACAAGTGGCCCTATATACTACCTTGGAGAGGCTGGATTTAGCACGGAATTTGGCAGCTACACCGGTGATGTTCTGTTTCTGCAGGAAAAATAAGTAGCTTTGTTAAAAAATAAGTAGCTTTGTTGAACATTAGAATAATTTTGCTACATAATTGGTTAATGGGATTTTTTTTATTTGTGATTCTGGTTGGAATTAGAGTAATTTAAGTAATATGATTGAATTTTTATTTGGAGTTGAAGTACTTTAGTATGTCATTAGAGTAATGTTGTCAGATATTATGGTAATTACATCAGTACTTAAGTAGTTATGTTTGTAATTAGATAACTTTAACTACTTTTGTGTCATAAAAGCCTGTGATGTTAGTTGGGAACTTGGAAGTAGAATTATTTAACCAATTATATATAATAATGGGGTTACTTTTGTTGCTGGAGTCTTTTTGTAATATAATCAGTAATTATTATGACATCTAAGATAATAAATTTTATTAAGTGGTGGCAAGTAAGATGTTTGTTGTGCTGAATTTTGTGTGATTTCAACTATATTCGTATGATGGAAAGCAATGGCGAGCGAACATGATGATAATTGGTGATAATACATGATAATTGATAATTGATTATTGAAGATAAATTTCTGAGATTGATGATAATTGGTGAAAATGATAATAAGTGATTATTATTAAGTGATTATTGGTGATAAATGATAATATCTGATAATAAGTGATTATTAATAAGTTATTTTACCACATGGTTGATTCGAGGTCTCAAGATTAGGCTGCAGATTTGTTGATTAATGGTGATAAAAGATGATAATGTATGATTAAATATTTTGCTCATGTGAGATATGCCATCACAGAGATCAATTACGGGTTCATTAAGGACGATCTGACTAGTTGTTACCAAGCTGTCAGGATTTGTACGGAGTTGGAAGCTGACAAGAAAAAATTGGACATTGAAGCTGCTGTTGTGCTGTGGAATGGTCGTAGGATTACTCGGCCTTCCTTTGTCAACTACTTTGAAGATATTGTTGCAACCCATAAGCCAATTTTGATGATTGTGACTGAGGTGGGAGCAACATCCACCAACCTTGAAAGGATTCTGGCCAAGCTAGGCACAATTATGTCTTGGAGGTTTGATTCGGGAGAAGGTTTGCTTGGAGGGACCGTGGTTTTTTGGGATCCTCATAGGGTGGATTCAATCATGCTGATAGCTGACTCTGATGAGATTGATCTGCGTGTTGTGGGATCAGTGAATGCAATTCAGGTTTAAGTCCCTCATTGTGCTCTTCAAATTTAATATTAATTAAATTATTACTCTCTCTATTCCATAATACTTGGGACGTTGGGGTGGACACTAGTTTAAGAAAACTACAAGTGGTTTTATTTAAAACATTTGTTTATTATATAAAAGATTCTCTTTTGTATTATTATATTGTAAGAAAAGAACAAGTAGAGTGGAAGTGGGGTAGTTGAGGTGAGAAAAAATGTAGAAAAATATTTGTTATTTAAATGCCATATTTAGTAACGTGTCAAGTATTGTGGGACTGACGAAAATGAGAAGTTTGTCAAGTATTATGGGACGGAGGGGGTATTAATTATGTTATTTAAATGCCATTAACATTTACAATTGATGGTCAAAACAGGAGTAGTACCTGCTGCTGACGAAGTGTGCTGGAGGGTGATGGTGAAGGCTCTTGTGCTAATATGGAAGGCTACTGTGTTGAATTCTAGTTAAAAGTACTCTATTACTACTCGTATTCTGTCTAAGAAATATTTGTGTAATAATGTGTGTAATCGGACTATTTGGCTCATGGATAGGCCTATGGTTTCATGTAGTGGACTATATATTAGGAAGTAATTATGCGATGTTGGTAATAGTGCTATTGTGATGAAATTGTAGTGTACTAAGTTGTAGGAACTAATCATCATGTGTTGTTCTGTTAGTTTGGAAACTTATGTGATATTGAAATTATGTGTTCTGTGATATAAGTTTGGGAATTATGTGTTCTTTGATAACCCAAGTGTGGAGTAAAGTAGGTAACTAATCAGTAACTAACCCAATTATAAAGATAAACTCAGTATTTGGACTCGATGATGAAGTTGTTGGCCCCCTTGAAATAGAAATTTGGGAATGCTATCCTGCAGTCCATATTTCATATAATTCCCCCCCACCCTCCAAACAGGAAAAAAATTAAATAAAACCTTTGACAATTCATATAATAAATCTCATATGCACACATAATAAAAATAAAATAAACTGGATAAATCTCAAACTGGACATTGAAGAACGCAGTAGTAGTCTCCATCTATAAAAATTAAAAGTAGCAAAACAACCATGGTCTATGACTGATCATATAGTAGTTGAAGACAAACGATTAAGTCCAAGTGGCTCATCATATAGTAGCTGAACTAAAACAAACAAGGCCTGACACATAACAAAACACAAAACAAACAAGGCTTGGATAAGTGTTGATCCATGACCAAGGTAATAAATTGTTTTCATTTTTTGCTAGATACGAGTTAAATTAATTTTATGGCATTGATACAAGTAGATCACAAAAGCAAAATTAGATGATTTAAAACAAACTTACTTATAACGAAGTAAGGTTAAGTCACATAAACCAATTGCGCATCCAAAGTTACAATTGGATGAATTCTTATTCTTATTTGATTATGAATCGCTTGAGAATTAAAAGTCATGCTTGATAAGGTAAGATGACCAAGTCACCTTTTAGTTGAAAGGGTGAAAGAGCTAAAATGACCTTTACCAATAAGTTCAAAGCTAGCAAGAGATTTAACTATTTCATTGCTTTTACTAACGATTTAAGCAAATATGTCCATAATTACTTAATGAAGTAAAGCTTGGAATCATTGAAATGTTCAAGAATTCCACAATGAAATGTAAAATTAGTTTGAGATAAACGATTTAACACTACAATATGATTGTTGTGATAAATATTTAACTCAAAATTAATGATCATCTAAAGGGAATTGTGGAATTAATTCACAATCTAGGAACACAACAATTAAAAATGTGTTAGAAAGCAGGAATCAAACTTTTCTTGCCATGGTTCAATCCAAGATTAGCTTTAATGATTTACAAATATCATTTTGAGGATATGCATTAGAACAACAATTGCGAATGCACTAAACAGAAACTCAACCAAAGCAGTTGAAAAGCGTCATAAGAGTTATGGATCGGAAATGTTCCAAGAGTCGTCTTTTATAAGCATGATTAAGGATTATGAAATCTATGTAAAATGTTTACAAAGGTGACGTAATAGACCCTAAATAAGATAAATAGTTCTTCGTGGGTTATCCCATGGAAACTAAAAGGTATTTTTTCTACAATTGCGTAGATAACAAAGCGTTTGTTGCTCGCGATAGTGTCTTTATAGAAATAAATTTCTTCCTACAAAGCCAAGTGGGAGTAAAGTTAGATCTCGAAAAGGTTCGAGACGAGCAACTAATGGATGTGAATAACACCACATCAGAAACGAAGGCGCATGAAGTCACCTAATTTGATAAATCATGTGTCGAAGCAAGCTAATTCAACTAGCAAGGCTCCTGTCGTCCCACTTGGATGAAAAGCTCCAAAGAGTTGAAGAGAATAATTGTATTGTTGCTCATACCTATCGTAGGTTACTTAGGATTTAAACAAACAGTTTTTTGAAATTCTGGTAAAAGGTGGATTTTAAAAATTTTCTTATTGGAATGGTTAGAACCCACAACCTACAAGCAAGCTTTGGTAAGTACCAACTCAAGAAATGGCTTAAGGCCATGAAATCCCAGATGGACTCCATGTCTGAAAAGATGTGTTAGTTCTTGATAGACTTACAAATGGGGTCAAACCTATTAGCTACGTAAGCCAATTCAGATTCTTCTAGTGATTGCTGATTTTCAATTATGAAATTTGGCAGCTGGACAGCAAAACCGTCTTCTTGAAATGTTCATGATGGAGGATGTGTATATTACACAACCTAAAGGGTTTTGAAGATCCAGAAAATCCTAGAAAGTTTTGCAAACTTTAGAAAATCTATTTGTGGATTGAAGTAAGCATTAGTGAGTTAGAACATTTATTACGATTAGGCAATCAAACAGTTTGTTCCTTGAAGAACGAAAAAGGAATATTGTAGATACAAGAAGTTTAGTGGGAGCAATATGATTTTCTTAGTCTTGTATGTAGATGAGATACAACTCATAGGGAACAACACGCCAGTGCTTAAGTAAGTCAAGCAATGGTTTAGGAGTTGTTTCTATATGAAAGACTTAGGAGATGTTGAGTACATGTTGGGAATCAAGATCCACAAAATGAATCTTGAAGAATGATTGGACTTAATCAAGAGACTTATGTTGATAAGGTTCTTGACAAGTTCAAGATGCAAGACTCTAAGAGAGGATATCTTCCCATGTCTCACGGTTTTACGCTCAGTAAAACTCAGTGCCTTCAAAAGCTAGTAGAGTTGATTCGTATGGATAATGTACCTTATGCTTTTGCAAAATGGTCCATTATATATGCCATGATATTTACAAAGCAAGATATTGCATATGCCTTGTGCATGTGTAGCAAGTTTCAAGCAAATTCAGGATAAGTATGCTGAAAGTTGCTAAGAACAAATCCTTGAGTACTTGAGAAGGACTAAAGGAATGTTTCTAGTTTATGGTGGCAAAAGTGAATTAGTTTTCAAAAGGTTATACGGATGCAAGTTTCCAAACAGACAAGATGACTTTAGATGTTGATCTGGATACATTTTGTGTCTAAATGGAGAAGGTTCCTAGTTCGAAATCATTAAAGTGGACATAAATGATTTCAATAAATGGACTAGCATGTAAGATTGATTGGATAGTGCAGTTTCATGAGCTATAGGGGCATAGAGATGCTCGGTCAATCACATGGATATGCATGAATGATGCATGATCGAACTATTGACCTACTTTGAAGTTCAAGTATAGAACTTCCGGATATACTAGTGGATTCCTTTGACATGAGTGGAACATTGATTCCATTCAATGATTAATTTAACTGTGGTACATTCAAACGTCTTCCCGTAGCTGGAGATTATAAAGGGTGTTTCCTAGTTACTTCAAAAGTTAAGTGGGAGCCTTGGTTGCCACAAGATTCGATTGAGTCTACCTATTAACTTAGGGAATGTGTCATGGCCACTTGAAGAGGGAGAATTCAGAAAATACGTGGCCGCGTTCAAATGCATTACTCAGTAATCATTTGGTTTTGTAATTCTAACTCAGATTTCAAGAAACGATTTGTAGATTAATATGATCTCGACATGGGATGCAATCATACTGTCAAATCGACACATATTGACTTAAGGAATTTGAATATTGCACACTTGTCTCAGACAAGTGGGAGATTGTAGAATTTATGTCTTCGTCAAGTGCAATTACTAGATGTATAAATGGATCAAATTATGGAGATAAACAAGTTCGTACTTTTGGGTCATCCTTATATCATAGTTAGAGGTACTAACGATCTTTGGGCAAGTAAAATAGGCCAAAGCCCAATTGGACGGATCCTATAAGGTCACACAAAGGGCTTAAATCGAGCATTAGAGGACGAGGCCCATGATGGGCCTCATCCCCTAGGTGGCCGGCCACATGGAGGAGTATGGAAGGTTTTGGGCTTCGTAACCTAGTCTAATTATAATAGGATTATAAATAGACTAGGTGCCTAGGGTTGAACATAGTGTGATCAAACCCTAATTAGCAAACACAAGCTAATCCCTCTCATACTCTCTCACACTCTTGTCTGTCTCTTGCCCCTTGCGCCGGTGCTGTGTGCGGTGGTGGTGGTGGTTCGAGGTGGTGGCTGGTTGTTCGCAAAGGTGGTGATCGTGGTTTTCCCCTTCACTTAACCAATCTAGTATTGGTGGATGGCTCGTTCGAATCCCGTGGACTAAGTAGAGGAGTCACGCTTGGGGCTCTATTCTCTCCCTGATTTGCCGATCGAATAGCTATGTGGAGATCACGCCTTAAAGGTATGATTATGTGATTCTTGTGTGTTATGCATGTGATCTTGGTTTAGGTGCTTATGAATATGATTCATGAAATTCCGCATATAGTACCTATAAACTCCTACATCACGGACCTTTAATTCCTTTAATACTCGGGTTCTGCATACACCGGCGAATAGTTAAGCAACCATAATGAATTAATATGCAATTAACCATATGAATGAATTAATATGCAATTAACCATATGAATGAATTAATATGTTGTAAGTAGGCATCAGAATGTGAAGAAAGTAGCTTTGACCTTGGCGCTTCAATATGAAATGGTCACCCATCATCCATTAGTTCATCTAGACGTTTCCGCTTAACTTGTGAGTGGTTATGTGCTAACTGTGAAAAAACATGTAAATGATATATAAAGCAGTATACAAGAACGCTGTAATGTATTATTCATACTTACATGTAGCTTATGACAAGACATATTGGCCTTTCCCTTTGATGTAATAGCCTTCCCCCTAGCTGTATTGGTGTTCCCCTGAGATGTATGGCAACTCCCTTCCCTGTGCCGGCCTTTCCCTTAGCATTAGATGGAATTAAATTGACTTTTCCCATGACCACTTTGCCCTTATCATCCTTGACCGCTTTCCCCTTATCCTTGACTGCTTTCCCCTTATCAGGTGTAGCTTCCTATTTGATTTAAAATAGCATTCCCAGACAGAAAAGAAAAACGATCAAAGAGGATCAGAGAGTAGGCAAAATAGATGAGGCTTTTATATTGATGCATAAAACTTACAGGAGTTGTGTTCTTATTATCCTTGACTACTTTCCTTTTATCCTTGACTGCTTTTGCCTTATCAGCCTCTCCAAGTTCCCATTTATATCAAATTAGCATTCCTAGAGAGACAAAAAAAAAAAAAGGATCAGAGAGTAGGCAAAATAGATGAGGCTTTTTTATTGATGCATAAAACTTCCAGGAGTTGTGTTCTTCTTCTTGTTACTTTGCTTGTACCCTGTTTCAGCCAACGTTTTGTGCCTTAAACCCTTTGGCCTTCCCCTTTTCTTTTTCTTAAATATAGGGTCCATTAAAGGTGGACAAGGCCAGGGTCTTCAGGCTCTGCAATAGGGTTCCGAACGAAGGACAACGTTCTATCATCGCTTGTTGATGAAAGCGTACTAATGACAAGAACATTTTCTTGATGCTTTTTTTCCCTACACTCATTGACAGATAGTTGAAGGTTTGATAGTGCTTCAAGCACCATATTACCGTTTGCTCGTTCACCATCCGCAGCGGTCTCACATAAAGGCTCGAATTTACCCATCATTTTGTTGAAT